AGCACTGGCGGTTCGGGCTAAAGTGAAGCTGGCGCTGCTTTGGTCGCCGTGTTTAGCTTGACTGACTCAGTACTCGAACCGCGGACCCATGCTTTGACCCTCCTGCTTCCAGTCAGCAAGGAATAGCTGGATCCACACCCCCCACCGATGGTGCGTTTGAGGATCTCGAGGAGGGTGGTGGACAGCAGCTTCTTACATCAATTAGTGGTGATGGGAGTCTTGGACAAAGGCTTCTATGCAAAATGTCACATCATCTTATATTTATGACTGAAATCCTTTCACATAATAACGACACAATATTTTTTCATATCTGTGATTTATTATTTCTTTACATTAGTAGGTGTAGTTTCAGATGCTCAAGTGATGAAGTCAGTGTAGATCTGAGAAGCAAAACTCTACACTGCTCTAAACACGCAGTTTCAGGCAGTTTTATTTCTAATTTAGACACTTTATGATGATAGCAGGTCTCCCTAATATGGGCATATCAGGCAAACAGCTCCAACTGTAAACAGAAGCCCACCTACCACAAGTTTTATTTTTAGGGCCAGCCGATCAGAAGGAAGGAGGAAAGGAAATAAACAGCTGATTAAGAGAGGATGCTGTACTAAGGCCCAGTATAAGATAAATAGCTAAGCTATCATAGTAAAGTTCAGGAGTGGAGTTGGAACTGAGCAGAGTAGGTAAAGTCATAGTTTTCAGAAAGTAAAACCTACAAGAAAATGAATTTTTCACCTACCAGCTTCCAAAATGTGTGTCTGATGGGAGGAGGAATGTCTGATTAAACTCCTCTTGAAGTATAATTCTCAGAGAAACCAAGTGATTGATAACTGACTGTTGCTGGATTGTCTGTAGTTAGGCTTGACTCAACTTAAACATTGATGTGTTACTCCAGGTCCATCTGTCCGGTTGCCCAAGCACAGTTACTAACACATTATGTGCTACTTCAATCTTTTTTTAACCAGTTCTGTAATAGATATTTAGGGTCTCAAAAACATTCTGAGTATTTCAGAAATATTTATTGGAAAGAGTTACAAAAAAATTAAAATTCAAACTGTGAAAACACTGACATATTGGCTAGCAGTTACAAAAGTGAAATGAAATGGCTGTTCAAGATTACAATCCTGTTTCTTATGTGACAGGAAACCCAGCAGATATGACTGAAAAGGCCACGAGTGCATTATCTCCTTCTCTTGTAAAGGGTTGTCCTGTGTATCCTTGCTAAAATAACACAAGAAAGGAAGCACTAAATCAACTTTTCCAGGCATTTAGAGAATTTGACCAGCTTTTGTCAAGTTACTTAGATACTTCCTGGTCATTTTACTAATTTGAAAAACATCCAGAACATAAGCCTGACACAGATTTGGTAGAATACGCCCCAAAAGTTGCTTTCCTAAGCAAATAATTACATAACTGAAATAAATCATCGTCACTATGCTCATTAAATAATTCAAATAAACTCAGTTTTTGTTAGACCTTTGAATAAATCAAAATTAATTACTTATATAAGTGTGTTTATTTCATAATGAAAACATTAGACATCACTATTTTCTCACACATACCAAAGCACAGTATGAGGTGAGAACTCTTTATTATTAAATCTATTTTAAATCTAATTGAAAACAGATAAATCGTTTTATTTTCATTACTATTCAGCGTTAGATTGTTCAGCATTGTTGCTGATTTGTTTAGTTAATATTTTGCATTGTGGTTTTTCCGACATAAC